CATTTTTTTTTAAAATAAAAGGTGTTCAGATTTTAAAATATCAAATAAAGAGACTTCTTTTGAACATTTATGGAGTCGCTAAAACTTGAATAAGTAGGTATTTAAATTAATTTTTTTTTTAAGCGTTTGCTTTTGTTTTTATGAGATCAAATTTTTTAAACCTTTGTTAAAGTTTTAAAAGCGTATATTTTCTTAAATACACTACCAAATTCGTTTTATTTCATATTTATCTATTTACAACTTCCATAACGTTCGTTAATCAAGGGAGCGTGTAGTACCCACATCCAATCGACAAACAAAGCGGGCATTTACAACAGCAGATATGAGTACCGGCGTACGTAGCATTCGATATTATAATTCTGAAATTCAATAGCTCTCTCTGTGCTCGCAATTTAATTAAACGTTTGCCAGATTGCAAATAAAGATAATAAATAATGTACTACGAACGCGAAGTGCGAATGGGCCACATTCATACACGCGTGCACTTACTCATATCTGTTTTAGGTCATTTATGTGTAAGACAAACGAATCTATTATTGTTGCAACTACTAAATAAATGAACGCATGTTTATACATATCGCATTCTATTGGAGCAATTTGCATAGCGTACCGTAATGGGATTTCAATGAAACTGTAAATAAGAATTTGTTTATTTTTGTGCAACATTTGCGTAAAATGTTGTAGATTAAACAATCTTGGAAAATTTCAAGAGAAGTTATGGTTCGAAATTTGTCAAATTTTACCGCGTTTCTGGGCATGCAATATTGCTTGGTCATGAATGCATTTTCATTGTCGTGATGGTGTTAACTTGGGGAACAATACCAAGATCAAGACTGTCCCAGTCCCCAAAGAATATATTAAATAAGTTTAAATAAATCATAAATCCACAGGAACTGATAATAATTTTTCGTTTAGTTTTGTGTATTTGGTCTTGGTTTCAGTCTTGGTTTTGATCGTTCGGTGTTAGTCTTGCCACTATAAAGACAGTCGTAGTTTTCACTAGGAAGTATGTGATTATAATTTAAAACATCAACGTTGTAACTTACATTTCGAAAATGATTTGTTCGCACATTGAAATTAACAACGAGGAAAGAAAATTGTTCATCGGATATAAAAGTTTCTTGACGGATTTTTTTCTTTTCGAAAGTGCATAGTTTGGTGGAATATGTTTTTCAACCATATCTATCTGAAAATTATATAGCAGAACTCTCAAAATCTTCTGAACAATGCGTCAAGCCCCACAGAAGCTATAAATTACATTTATTGGATTTCACCATCATAAGGTCGTCAGTCCTAATAAGAGTAGTTCCACACGTACCTCCATTCTTTCCTATACTGAGTTAATCAAAAAATTTAAACTTTTGGATGTTTCATTCCCACCAGCCGCTAATGCTGGTGGGCGGGTAGTCTCTCGGGACTACGCTGGAAGGTAGGGTGGAAGGCCCTCTTCAGCCTTCTTTCAGGAATCGTTAGAATTGGTGCCTGGTTCGAGTGAGAAAGATGACACGGATGAAATGAAGACAGAAAAGAATGAAAGTTTATCTGTGGAATATTACTGCCTCAGTATTTGCCTAAGTGATCGAAGAAAGCCACAGAAAAACTTGGACCAAGGCAGACGGACCTGGAATCGAACTGGCATCCTCCCGAATGCTAAGCAATGGTATAAACTTGTAGGCCATGCCGCTCGGTAACTGAGTTAATCTTCCCTAAAACTAGAACAATTTTGCGAACACTAACCTAACCTAGGTGTACCTCTTAACTCTTGTTTTTGCCTCTAATATGTCTCTGAATAGCCCCTTATGCCTGAGAAGGTATCCTACCAACCTATTTCGCCTATTTTTTATTGACTTCCAGAGTCCTCTGTTTACCTATTCATTTTTCTAAATTAACCGTTCGCGAGCATAAAAGTGACTTTTTTTTAATTGAGGGCGACTCGCTTTATATCCCTACTACTCCTTCCGTCCTGACTTATCTGACTTCCTAGATACGTTAAATCAGCCACTTCTTCCAATCTTTCATCTCCTTCCTTTACATTCGCTCTTTCCGTACTTTTTCTTCCCTTGCATACCAGTATTTTTGTTTTACTTTTATTTATTTTCATACAATACTGTTTTGTCAATACCACTTCCATTTTATTTAAAGCTATCTCTAACTCCTCCTTCCTAGATGCTAATATTGCTATATCATCTGCAAATCTATGCATACTAATCCTCTATATCTATTGCTAAACTTGTCGTGTTTTGAAAGGTGTTTATCGCGCCTTCGATGTATAAATTAAAAATAAGTAGCGGTGTTCAAATGTTTAAAATGAGAACAAAGCTACTTGATATACAATAGCATGTATAATAAATGCTTAGAAATGTTTTGGTTGAATTTCATGTCTAATTCGAGCCTTATTCAGATCATCGAAGTCCTGCGGTTAATTAACACACTTTCAGTCTTAAAAAAAACCCGCGGAAGAAAAATCTGAAAACATAAGATTTGGAGATCACGGCGACCATTACATATCTCCTGTCTTTAGAAGTTAAATTAAAAATCCCTATAGCGGATCATGGCGACGTCAAAAGTATTCTACGTTTCGTTTCCAAGGGATATCTGCAGGAATTTCAGGCTGAAGATCAGCAATTGCGTTGGAGTTCCTCAAAATGCCCCTTGTGATAGGAGACGAAACACTTTTGACGTCAACTTGACCTGCCATGGAGATTTCATCAATAAGACACCGTTGGAATTCGAATATCTAGTTTCTTCAGACGATATGTAATGGTCACCACGATCTTTAGATCTTAAGACTTTGTAATTTTTCCTCTGGGGTTTTCTAGGCACGGATAGAATCCGGAAATCCAGTTTCTTCCTGTCTTTAAATCATTCCACACTTTATTCTGCTCATAATTTTTGTAAATTACATGCTTGCCCATCAGCTCTATATCTTGAAACTTTATGTTAGTAAATGTCATTAAGATAACTTAAAAACAAATTAATATGTATTAGTATACATACATACTTTTAAACGTTTTTTGTAGGTACTACGTAGGGAAATACTTTTAGTAATCTTTTTAGGAATCAGTAGAAAAGATATCGAAGATCAAAAATTTTCTTTGAATGTACTGAGTTGATATTTGCCTGGAAAATAAAATTCATGTGCAATCACTGTCGAGAGAATTAAAGACAATGATTAAATAAAAGCTGATGTCTGCCTGCCTGTCTAATTTAACATGAAAAACTTATGAGAATGTCATGCCACAATTCGAAGCCATTATCCACGTCTAGCGGTAAGAACAATTTCATAAACGGAATCATTGACTTCGAAACTTTGTCAGACGTGACTTACGTTGAGTACATCAGAATAACAGAAGCCATGCAGAACGAATTAGCTACAACCGGTTATAAATTAACTAGGCACATTTATATTATAGTAGGTAGCTAGAGAGCCTCCGTGTAGGTATTATTATAGGTATTCAAATACAAACAGATGCATGTAAACATACAAAATAAAATAATAATTTTACAGGAGAGATTACGAAAATGCGAATAATCATGTTAACCATAAAGATAATACGTTGATTAAGACACTTAATTGACATGTTTGCTTTTTAAATCAATTATTGTCGATAAAAAACAGCGCCAATAAATTTTGTTTCAACTACCCATTTACTACAGGAAGCGCAAACATACGCGGAATTAGCCTTTAAAAAACTTGCAAGGAGAATCAACATTAAAACCTAGTTATTTTTTACGAATTCTTCGAAGATGTTGATATGATCTTTATAATCAATTTATCGATAGTGATTTCGAAATTAGTTGTCATCAGCACCTCATAGTTATGTGTTTTGGTTGGATTTTTGTTAAGTACCAAAAGATAATAAATGGATTTAACCAGCATAAGAAATATTCAATAATGACACCAAATAAATTAAATATCAATAAAGTTAATATTTGAAGAAATCAGGAATTTCGGGATGATACAACTTCATAGAAACAAAAAAGAAAGATGCAGAATTAATTTAAAGAATTGAATATTAGATAAGAAATAGCAAACGTTAAAAAATAATTTAAAAGTTCACCACTACGATTGCTTCGCCTCCTGGAGAAGTCAATGCTTGGCGAAACAATTGTGGCGCTAAAAATTTTTTTGAAAATTCTTTATTTAGTGTTCGATTATCAAGTTTCAGCAAGTAACACCTACAACCATTAACTATTTAAAAAATGCGGTGTACGAACCAAAATTGTTGGCATAGTTTTTAAAAATATGTAATAAAAAATGAAACCGATAAACTTGGATCATTCCGTATTCCTTTGCGGGGATAAAAAGACAGGTCAACTTACTTGCCAAAGAGTGGATGCCACAAGTACTTCTGCGAGTCCTGCGCATGTGCGGTCATTTCTTCTAAACTGGCTGTAGTACTTCCTACTTCCGGCACATCGTCCTGTTTAGGTAAATGCTTCGGGTGTTTCGAGGTTTCGTAATGATTTCTATCCCTAGTTTTATTGCTTGTAACCTGAGATGTTGTCAAATCAATGGGTTGCATAGACGAATCTGAATTTCCCTTTCTGGAACCGTCATACGAAGTGACCATTTTTTGTTGTAACGATTTCTCATGAGAACCAACTTTATCATTTGTACTAGCGTCCGGATAGTGGTGACTGAACATGTTCTGAGCGAATACGTTTTTATGACCGCTGTCGTAATTATTTCTTATCAACTGTTTTGGTGGCACCGTTGAGTCGACCTCTGGTTGCATCAGAAAGCTGGCGGAATTTTTTCGCATTTGGTTTTTTGGAGGATTTGGTGGATGATATTGCGGAATTTGTAAACTGGGTCTCATCCCTTGTTCTCTCGACGACGATGACGTGTTATAATTCCCCAAAACGTTCCCTTTGTTGTTTATCGATGAACTGTAGCCCCTGTTTATTGAATATGGTTTTTGTGATGTCGTATGGGATCGTTGTTTTAATGTGTCATGATGCCTTTCTGGATGCCCCCCGTACATGCTTTTCGTATTAAGGTCAAACTGATTTTTCGACCTTAAATAATTTGCTTGGTGCAACGCTTCCTGCCAATTAGGATATTCAAATAATGCGTTGTAATCAAAATGTTGTTGGAAGGGAATTGATGCCTGAGGATGAGGAGGAAATCTATTTGCAGCAATCATAGGGCCCATGCCAGGAAGTTGGTTTCCTGGTAATGATAAAAATGGAAAATTAAAACCCTTCAGAATATCTGAACCTCCTCCAAAAGCTATGGCTGCAGCTTCTAGTTGCTGCAGATATGGCAACCACATCATTTGGTTCAGTGATTCGTTACTGTACATGTCATTTCTCGTTTCTTCTACACGGGAAAAATTTTTATTGGGCGAATTGCATCTCACTCGACTTGATTCCTCTACTAAAGGGTTTAACTTTACATTCTTGGACCTCTCTTCTTGTTTTGGTTTTGGCTTTTTGTCGGAAATCGTCTTATGAAAATTATCAGGTTTCTTGTTAATCTTTTCTTCACAAGAAGAAGGAGGTAACACTTGGCTTTGTTTTTGAATAATCGTTTGCAATTGTGCTAAAGTAATTACTAATATATTTGGGTCCTGCAACAGATGAGGAAAAGAGAGAGCATCGGGAAGTCTTAGTTCTGGTCTTTGAGTAAGAAGTCGAAGTATCTCCTTCTTAGGTGACATTAATACTTGACTTAAATTCTCCTTAGGTATTAAAAGAGGATCCGGCAAATCAACTGAAGGATCAAGTTGAAGCTGTTTCAATTGGAGAGCTGGATCTGCTTCACTGTCCGTAATGAGAAGCTCAAGTAATTTTGACTGCTCTAAAAATGGACTTCCGCTAGCGTCTTCTTTTATCTGATCCTTCTCATTAGACTTTTCCGTTTCTGCGCTTAGTATATTCTTAAGTGTAATGGCTTCTACTTTAATCTTTTTCGGTTCAGATTCATCTGCTTCCGCGAAAGTACGTTTGTTTACTTCTTCAGAGCAAGTAACCGTTGGACTAGCGGATTTTCTACATTTCCCCAAATCTAAAGGCTCCATTTGCATTTCAATTTTTGTTTGCGGTTGTAGTTCTTTTTGTGGGGATGAAAGCAATGTTTCTAAAAATACTGATTTAGGATTACTTTTTCCGTTTCCGAAAGGGGGAAATACGTCTGGTGATGGAGGAACTGGAGGTAGACCGCTAGGTTGAGGGGACTGAACCGTTTCTGAACTTCTTGAGTATGGCCTTGGGCTTGAGGAGCAAACAAATCCCTTGTCGGTCGAAATTCGTAGATCGGTTGGGGTTGCTTTTTCGTAATCCACACTGTTCTGAAGAACTTTTGTGGTTCGCAAATCTTTTGGGCCTTCTTCTTGAACATCGCAAGTAGCAGATGATCGAATCGTTAAATCTGTTGGCTCTTCAGGTATTTTCTCAATTTGTGGACTTTCTGGTTCACTGATCTCCTTAATTTCAGTAGCTTCTTCTTGTTCTTCTTCTTCTTGAGGTTTTTCTTCGCTTTCCGTTGGAATGTCATACTGAATGTCGTTAGTACAATTATCTGTTTCTTTGTCGTCTTCCTCTTCCTCCTCCTGTTCAACATCTGCGTCGTCCTTCTGTGATTCCTTGACTGAGCACTGATTCTCTATTGGTATTTCTGGCGATATAGGCTCAGGTGTGCGGAGAGACTGCTCCAATCTATCCAATATGTCGGTCATAGCTAAATTATTTTCCTCTTCTTCGTCGTAATCTATTTCGTCACTTTTTCGTTTATCGTTATAGTACTTTTCCTGACCATCGTTCTTAGGGGTATCTTTCTCTTCCAAGTCACATTTAATTAGGAAGTCAACAGGATTCGGTTCGGTATTTTGGTTTTCTGGGATTTTCTCTTCACTGACGTCTTCTTTGATGGGAGACGATATCGATGTGTCTATTGTACTTGTGTCATTCCATTCGCCTGATTGTATTTTCTGATTAAATTCAAATTCAGCAACGGCTAATAAATTATCTAGAGGACTGGTTGCACTCATCTTATTAGGTTGAATATTATCGGGGTAGCTTGAGGTAGCATCGAGTCGTAAATTGTCATTGGAAGGTTCGATTACCTGATGGTGTTCAGGAGAACTGGAACAATGCCTATTTACGTGTATAGTATGGGAAGGTAAATGAGACTCTACGTCACCAGAAGAAGTCCAAGTAGGAGAACTAGGTATGGTAGGATCGTGAGATTCCTCACCGTCAATGTCGTCCTCTACTTGGACAGCTGTCGATTTCCTTTTAACTTTATTCGATTTACGAGCTTTCCGCGCTCGTTTCATATCGTTGTCAGTCGACTGCTTCAGAGTGGGCACCCAGGTCTCGGTGCGGGGGATGGCGCGCCAACCATGAGCGGTTTTGGTCAGCAGGATTCGATTCCTTTTGTCGTAATCCTCGCATTTCACGTCCACGATGCGTGTATCTTCTTGGCGCACCCACACGAAAATTGGATTGACTCGCGGATTGACGGGTCTTTCTGCGGAAGATCGCCACTTTTGTTTACCACCAGAGGACGAAGAAGAACGTTTATTACGTACGCTTTTGTGTTCACGTCTTTTCTCTGATTTACGGTGACGCTGTTCCGACTTTGTTTTCCTGTTCGGCGCTTGCGGCCCAGCACTGGGACCACGTGACCTCGCGGTATCGATCAGGTCGACGGGAGCCGGAGCCTGCGTTCCCGTCCGTCGTGAGCGCTGCTCGCCCATAACCTCCTTTCCGACAACCGAATCACCGCCACCACCACCACCACCACCACTATCAAGTCGCTGAGGGGATGAATCCTGGTCCAGGTGACTGTTGTAATAATCGTTCACGGATTTTTTACGCAATGCTGATATCGGAATTAGGCCCGGCACGGGAGGCCTCGGGCCGTTGTTCATTGCATTAACCGCTCTCGCGCATTCTTCCACGTTTCGCGACCGTCTCGGTTAGGGATCTCGCTTTTTCCGTACAGACCCTAACCAAGCGACTCTACCGAAACAAAACATTCACATTCATTGTTTATTTACGTTAACTAACGAAAATACACGAACGTCGAGCACTGAAAACACACACACTGCACCTCAACTGACAAACTATACGCTTCCAACGTTCTCACTTTACTATGAGAATTTTTACGAGAACATCCGATGTCCGACCGACGGAACCCGAATCGAGGTTCCTGACGTCAAGTAAATTTCGGATTCGGTTTCTTGTTTGACAATGAGCGGCAAAGGGGCGGAGTCACATTCGATGTTTACGCCCAGAGTCCCACCCACGATCCGACTAGCCCTATTTGGTAAGTTGGATTCATAAGGAACCCGTGCAAGAAAGGCATCTGGTTGTAATGAACGTAACTACATTAACAATCGCAATAACCTTGACTTCGCGTTCAACACCCTTTAAGGCGTTACATGTACACGTAACTAGTAGGTACACGTTTCAGGAGTACAAACACAAACACGCTGGTCTGGTACGTGGTTACGTAGTACATGCGATTCTATTCTAATTGAATTGGAATTTGAACGTTAAATCCAGAATAACCTAATGATTCGTTTTCTTCTATTCCTTAAGTGCGCTCTAATTGAAAAATAAGATATCAATTAGAACTTAAATGAATCAATGCCGCTTCATGTATTTCGAAGGCTGATACTTAAGTATACATTCTATAAGGACGTAGGTACCTAATGGTACTCATGGCAGGACAGCCTGGGAAGAAGTTCACGAATAATCCAAAACGGTCGTGAAAGCCAATTTCAGTAACTTGACGATTGTTCAATAATCTTAAGTCCAAACAATGTTTGGATCATTAGAATTAATGTTTTGTTAAACTATACTTGATGAGGGAATGTTAAGAAAAAAAACTAAATGTAGAAAAATTATTGCAGAAACAAGGAGACGATATGAAGAATTAGAAAGGTTAGGAGATGAGGACAAGAAAAGGAATACGGATGAAGAAAATGTTAAAAAATGATATAAACAGGTTTGACGAGGAGAGGGATAAGGCATCTAAGGATATGACGTTAATAAGCAAATTGAGAAATGGAAGATGGAAGGAAAAAGTGCAGATAATAGGTATGCTAAGTGGAGAGAACATCATAAAGATACAGAAATCGGAGTAAATATGGATAAATATCATGGGGTAACGGCAGGCGGACACTTTTATCGGAATCCATATTGAAAGGAAAAGGTATATCCATTATAGCTAGGTCCATATTGGGAAATGAAAGTAATAATGTATCTAAAAATTGGTTAAAAGAGGACGAAAAGACATGCAGAATGTGTAAGATGGAAAAGGAGTCTGTGAAATATAGGTGAATATGAATATTTGATGAATGTAAGGAAAATACGTTAAGGAGTGAACATAGAGACTTTATCTATTAATGGCAAGGGTCTGGATGTCAGAATTTCAAATGTAAGAAAAATGGAGAATGGAGGATAACTAAAAAAAAAAAGTTCGCCGTTTTAGGTGTAATTATATGAGTTTAAATGACGATCCATACTAAAATATCTTTGAAGTAAATAAAGTGATATTAAGGGAAAACTGTTGGTTGAATAAGAGTTGATGTGTATTTTAGGAGTACGCCAAGTTTTTGTACTAGATAGTAAACCTTTTCTATTTGATGTGTAAAAATGACTTTTTGGTTTAATAAACCATATAAATATACGAAATAACGATAATGATTCTGAGCTTGTAAACTAATAATATACGGTGGGTAAAAAGAAGTCGAGGTAAAACTTATACACAATCATAAACAAAGATATTTATTGAACCGGTAAGAAATATAAAAAACAAACTTTATGAAAAATATNTATGAGATCAAATTTTTTAAACCTTTGTTAAAGTTTTAAAAGCGTATATTTTCTTAAATACACTACCAAATTCGTTTTATTTCATATTTATCTATTTACAACTTCCATAACGTTCGTTAATCAAGGGAGCGTGTAGTACCCACATCCAATCGACAAACAAAGCGGGCATTTACAACAGCAGATATGAGTACCGGCGTACGTAGCATTCGATATTATAATTCTGAAATTCAATAGCTCTCTCTGTGCTCGCAATTTAATTAAACGTTTGCCAGATTGCAAATAAAGATAATAAATAATGTACTACGAACGCGAAGTGCGAATGGGCCACATTCATACACGCGTGCACTTACTCATATCTGTTTTAGGTCATTTATGTGTAAGACAAACGAATCTATTATTGTTGCAACTACTAAATAAATGAACGCATGTTTATACATATCGCATTCTATTGGAGCAATTTGCATAGCGTACCGTAATGGGATTTCAATGAAACTGTAAATAAGAATTTGTTTATTTTTGTGCAACATTTGCGTAAAATGTTGTAGATTAAACAATCTTGGAAAATTTCAAGAGAAGTTATGGTTCGAAATTTGTCAAATTTTACCGCGTTTCTGGGCATGCAATATTGCTTGGTCATGAATGCATTTTCATTGTCGTGATGGTGTTAACTTGGGGAACAATACCAAGATCAAGACTGTCCCAGTCCCCAAAGAATATATTAAATAAGTTTAAATAAATCATAAATCCACAGGAACTGATAATAATTTTTCGTTTAGTTTTGTGTATTTGGTCTTGGTTTCAGTCTTGGTTTTGATCGTTCGGTGTTAGTCTTGCCACTATAAAGACAGTCGTAGTTTTCACTAGGAAGTATGTGATTATAATTTAAAACATCAACGTTGTAACTTACATTTCGAAAATGATTTGTTCGCACATTGAAATTAACAACGAGGAAAGAAAATTGTTCATCGGATATAAAAGTTTCTTGACGGATTTTTTTCTTTTCGAAAGTGCATAGTTTGGTGGAATATGTTTTTCAACCATATCTATCTGAAAATTATATAGCAGAACTCTCAAAATCTTCTGAACAATGCGTCAAGCCCCACAGAAGCTATAAATTACATTTATTGGATTTCACCATCATAAGGTCGTCAGTCCTAATAAGAGTAGTTCCACACGTACCTCCATTCTTTCCTATACTGAGTTAATCAAAAAATTTAAACTTTTGGATGTTTCATTCCCACCAGCCGCTAATGCTGGTGGGCGGGTAGTCTCTCGGGACTACGCTGGAAGGTAGGGTGGAAGGCCCTCTTCAGCCTTCTTTCAGGAATCGTTAGAATTGGTGCCTGGTTCGAGTGAGAAAGATGACACGGATGAAATGAAGACAGAAAAGAATGAAAGTTTATCTGTGGAATATTACTGCCTCAGTATTTGCCTAAGTGATCGAAGAAAGCCACAGAAAAACTTGGACCAAGGCAGACGGACCTGGAATCGAACTGGCATCCTCCCGAATGCTAAGCAATGGTATAAACTTGTAGGCCATGCCGCTCGGTAACTGAGTTAATCTTCCCTAAAACTAGAACAATTTTGCGAACACTAACCTAACCTAGGTGTACCTCTTAACTCTTGTTTTTGCCTCTAATATGTCTCTGAATAGCCCCTTATGCCTGAGAAGGTATCCTACCAACCTATTTCGCCTATTTTTTATTGACTTCCAGAGTCCTCTGTTTACCTATTCATTTTTCTAAATTAACCGTTCGCGAGCATAAAAGTGACTTTTTTTTAATTGAGGGCGACTCGCTTTATATCCCTACTACTCCTTCCGTCCTGACTTATCTGACTTCCTAGATACGTTAAATCAGCCACTTCTTCCAATCTTTCATCTCCTTCCTTTACATTCGCTCTTTCCGTACTTTTTCTTCCCTTGCATACCAGTATTTTTGTTTTACTTTTATTTATTTTCATACAATACTGTTTTGTCAATACCACTTCCATTTTATTTAAAGCTATCTCTAACTCCTCCTTCCTAGATGCTAATATTGCTATATCATCTGCAAATCTATGCATACTAATCCTCTATATCTATTGCTAAACTTGTCGTGTTTTGAAAGGTGTTTATCGCGCCTTCGATGTATAAATTAAAAATAAGTAGCGGTGTTCAAATGTTTAAAATGAGAACAAAGCTACTTGATATACAATAGCATGTATAATAAATGCTTAGAAATGTTTTGGTTGAATTTCATGTCTAATTCGAGCCTTATTCAGATCATCGAAGTCCTGCGGTTAATTAACACACTTTCAGTCTTAAAAAAAACCCGCGGAAGAAAAATCTGAAAACATAAGATTTGGAGATCACGGCGACCATTACATATCTCCTGTCTTTAGAAGTTAAATTAAAAATCCCTATAGCGGATCATGGCGACGTCAAAAGTATTCTACGTTTCGTTTCCAAGGGATATCTGCAGGAATTTCAGGCTGAAGATCAGCAATTGCGTTGGAGTTCCTCAAAATGCCCCTTGTGATAGGAGACGAAACACTTTTGACGTCAACTTGACCTGCCATGGAGATTTCATCAATAAGACACCGTTGGAATTCGAATATCTAGTTTCTTCAGACGATATGTAATGGTCACCACGATCTTTAGATCTTAAGACTTTGTAATTTTTCCTCTGGGGTTTTCTAGGCACGGATAGAATCCGGAAATCCAGTTTCTTCCTGTCTTTAAATCATTCCACACTTTATTCTGCTCATAATTTTTGTAAATTACATGCTTGCCCATCAGCTCTATATCTTGAAACTTTATGTTAGTAAATGTCATTAAGATAACTTAAAAACAAATTAATATGTATTAGTATACATACATACTTTTAAACGTTTTTTGTAGGTACTACGTAGGGAAATACTTTTAGTAATCTTTTTAGGAATCAGTAGAAAAGATATCGAAGATCAAAAATTTTCTTTGAATGTACTGAGTTGATATTTGCCTGGAAAATAAAATTCATGTGCAATCACTGTCGAGAGAATTAAAGACAATGATTAAATAAAAGCTGATGTCTGCCTGCCTGTCTAATTTAACATGAAAAACTTATGAGAATGTCATGCCACAATTCGAAGCCATTATCCACGTCTAGCGGTAAGAACAATTTCATAAACGGAATCATTGACTTCGAAACTTTGTCAGACGTGACTTACGTTGAGTACATCAGAATAACAGAAGCCATGCAGAACGAATTAGCTACAACCGGTTATAAATTAACTAGGCACATTTATATTATAGTAGGTAGCTAGAGAGCCTCCGTGTAGGTATTATTATAGGTATTCAAATACAAACAGATGCATGTAAACATACAAAATAAAATAATAATTTTACAGGAGAGATTACGAAAATGCGAATAATCATGTTAACCATAAAGATAATACGTTGATTAAGACACTTAATTGACATGTTTGCTTTTTAAATCAATTATTGTCGATAAAAAACAGCGCCAATAAATTTTGTTTCAACTACCCATTTACTACAGGAAGCGCAAACATACGCGGAATTAGCCTTTAAAAAACTTGCAAGGAGAATCAACATTAAAACCTAGTTATTTTTTACGAATTCTTCGAAGATGTTGATATGATCTTTATAATCAATTTATCGATAGTGATTTCGAAATTAGTTGTCATCAGCACCTCATAGTTATGTGTTTTGGTTGGATTTTTGTTAAGTACCAAAAGATAATAAATGGATTTAACCAGCATAAGAAATATTCAATAATGACACCAAATAAATTAAATATCAATAAAGTTAATATTTGAAGAAATCAGGAATTTCGGGATGATACAACTTCATAGAAACAAAAAAGAAAGATGCAGAATTAATTTAAAGAATTGAATATTAGATAAGAAATAGCAAACGTTAAAAAATAATTTAAAAGTTCACCACTACGATTGCTTCGCCTCCTGGAGAAGTCAATGCTTGGCGAAACAATTGTGGCGCTAAAAATTTTTTTGAAAATTCTTTATTTAGTGTTCGATTATCAAGTTTCAGCAAGTAACACCTACAACCATTAACTATTTAAAAAATGCGGTGTACGAACCAAAATTGTTGGCATAGTTTTTAAAAATATGTAATAAAAAATGAAACCGATAAACTTGGATCATTCCGTATTCCTTTGCGGGGATAAAAAGACAGGTCAACTTACTTGCCAAAGAGTGGATGCCACAAGTACTTCTGCGAGTCCTGCGCATGTGCGGTCATTTCTTCTAAACTGGCTGTAGTACTTCCTACTTCCGGCACATCGTCCTGTTTAGGTAAATGCTTCGGGTGTTTCGAGGTTTCGTAATGATTTCTATCCCTAGTTTTATTGCTTGTAACCTGAGATGTTGTCAAATCAATGGGTTGCATAGACGAATCTGAATTTCCCTTTCTGGAACCGTCATACGAAGTGACCATTTTTTGTTGTAACGATTTCTCATGAGAACCAACTTTATCATTTGTACTAGCGTCCGGATAGTGGTGACTGAACATGTTCTGAGCGAATACGTTTTTATGACCGCTGTCGTAATTATTTCTTATCAACTGTTTTGGTGGCACCGTTGAGTCGACCTCTGGTTGCATCAGAAAGCTGGCGGAATTTTTTCGCATTTGGTTTTTTGGAGGATTTGGTGGATGATATTGCGGAATTTGTAAACTGGGTCTCATCCCTTGTTCTCTCGACGACGATGACGTGTTATAATTCCCCAAAACGTTCCCTTTGTTGTTTATCGATGAACTGTAGCCCCTGTTTATTGAATATGGTTTTTGTGATGTCGTATGGGATCGTTGTTTTAATGTGTCATGATGCCTTTCTGGATGCCCCCCGTACATGCTTTTCGTATTAAGGTCAAACTGATTTTTCGACCTTAAATAATTTGCTTGGTGCAACGCTTCCTGCCAATTAGGATATTCAAATAATGCGTTGTAATCAAAATGTTGTTGGAAGGGAATTGATGCCTGAGGATGAGGAGGAAATCTATTTGCAGCAATCATAGGGCCCATGCCAGGAAGTTGGTTTCCTGGTAATGATAAAAATGGAAAATTAAAACCCTTCAGAATATCTGAACCTCCTCCAAAAGCTATGGCTGCAGCTTCTAGTTGCTGCAGATATGGCAACCACATCATTTGGTTCAGTGATTCGTTACTGTACATGTCATTTCTCGTTTCTTCTACACGGGAAAAATTTTTATTGGGCGAATTGCATCTCACTCGACTTGATTCCTCTACTAAAGGGTTTAACTTTACATTCTTGGACCTCTCTTCTTGTTTTGGTTTTGGCTTTTTGTCGGAAATCGTCTTATGAAAATTATCAGGTTTCTTGTTAATCTTTTCTTCACAAGAAGAAGGAGGTAACACTTGGCTTTGTTTTTGAATAATCGTTTGCAATTGTGCTAAAGTAATTACTAATATATTTGGGTCCTGCAACAGATGAGGAAAAGAGAGAGCATCGGGAAGTCTTAGTTCTGGTCTTTGAGTAAGAAGTCGAAGTATCTCCTTCTTAGGTGACATTAATACTTGACTTAAATTCTCCTTAGGTATTAAAAGAGGATCCGGCAAATCAACTGAAGGATCAAGTTGAAGCTGTTTCAATTGGAGAGCTGGATCTGCTTCACTGTCCGTAATGAGAAGCTCAAGTAATTTTGACTGCTCTAAAAATGGACTTCCGCTAGCGTCTTCTTTTATCTGATCCTTCTCATTAGACTTTTCCGTTTCTGCGCTTAGTATATTCTTAAGTGTAATGGCTTCTACTTTAATCTTTTTCGGTTCAGATTCATCTGCTTCCGCGAAAGTACGTTTGTTTACTTCTTCAGAGCAAGTAACCGTTGGACTAGCGGATTTTCTACATTTCCCCAAATCTAAAGGCTCCATTTGCATTTCAATTTTTGTTTGCGGTTGTAGTTCTTTTTGTGGGGATGAAAGCAATGTTTCTAAAAATACTGATTTAGGATTACTTTTTCCGTTTCCGAAAGGGGGAAATACGTCTGGTGATGGAGGAACTGGAGGTAGACCGCTAGGTTGAGGGGACTGAACCGTTTCTGAACTTCTTGAGTATGGCCTTGGGCTTGAGGAGCAAACAAATCCCTTGTCGGTCGAAATTCGTAGATCGGTTGGGGTTGCTTTTTCGTAATCCACACTGTTCTGAAGAACTTTTGTGGTTCGCAAATCTTTTGGGCCTTCTTCTTGAACATCGCAAGTAGCAGATGATCGAATCGTTAAATCTGTTGGCTCTTCAGGTATTTTCTCAATTTGTGGACTTTCTGGTTCACTGATCTCCTTAATTTCAGTAGCTTCTTCTTGTTCTTCTTCTTCTTGAGGTTTTTCTTCGCTTTCCGTTGGAATGTCATACTGAATGTCGTTAGTACAATTATCTGTTTCTTTGTCGTCTTCCTCTTCCTCCTCCTGTTCAACATCTGCGTCGTCCTTCTGTGATTCCTTGACTGAGCACTGATTCTCTATTGGTATTTCTGGCGATATAGGCTCAGGTGTGCGGAGAGACTGCTCCAATCTATCCAATATGTCGGTCATAGCTAAATTATTTTCCTCTTCTTCGTCGTAATCTATTTCGTCACTTTTTCGTTTATCGTTATAGTACTTTTCCTGACCATCGTTCTTAGGGGTATCTTTCTCTTCCAAGTCACATTTAATTAGGAAGTCAACAGGATTCGGTTCGGTATTTTGGTTTTCTGGGATTTTCTCTTCACTGACGTCTTCTTTGATGGGAGACGATATCGATGTGTCTATTGTACTTGTGTCATTCCATTCGCCTGATTGTATTTTCTGATTAAATTCAAATTCAGCAACGGCTAATAAATTATCTAGAGGACTGGTTGCACTCATCTTATTAGGTTGAATATTATCGGGGTAGCTTGAGGTAGCATCGAGTCGTAAATTGTCATTGGAAGGTTCGATTACCTGATGGTGTTCAGGAGAACTGGAACAATGCCTATTTACGTGTATAGTATGGGAAGGTAAATGAGACTCTACGTCACCAGAAGAAGTCCAAGTAGGAGAACTAGGTATGGTAGGATCGTGAGATTCCTCACCGTCAATGTCGTCCTCTACTTGGACAGCTGTCGATTTCCTTTTAACTTTATTCGATTTACGAGCTTTCCGCGCTCGTTTCATATCGTTGTCAGTCGACTGCTTCAGAGTGGGCACCCAGGTCTCGGTGCGGGGGATGGCGCGCCAACCATGAGCGGTTTTGGTCAGCAGGATTCGATTCCTTTTGTCGTAATCCTCGCATTTCACGTCCACGATGCGTGTATCTTCTTGGCGCACCCACACGAAAATTGGATTGACTCGCGGATTGACGGGTCTTTCTGCGGAAGATCGCCACTTTTGTTTACCACCAGAGGACGAAGAAGAACGTTTATTACGTACGCTTTTGTGTTCACGTCTTTTCTCTGATTTACGGTGACGCTGTTCCGACTTTGTTTTCCTGTTCGGCGCTTGCGGCCCAGCACTGGGACCACGTGACCTCGCGGTATCGATCAGGTCGACGGGAGCCGGAGCCTGCGTTCCCGTCCGTCGTGAGCGCTGCTCGCCCATAACCTCCTTTCCGACAACCGAATCACCGCCACCACCACCACCACCACCACTATCAAGTCGCTGAGGGGATGAATCCTGGTCCAGGTGACTGTTGTAATAATCGTTCACGGATTTTTTACGCAATGCTGATATCGGAATTAGGCCCGGCACGGGAGGCCTCGGGCCGTTGTTCATTGCATTAACCGCTCTCGCGCATTCTTCCACGTTTCGCGACCGTCTCGGTTAGGGATCTCGCTTTTTCCGTACAGACCCTAACCAAGCGACTCTACCGAAACAAAACATTCACATTCATTGTTTATTTACGTTAACTAACGAAAATACACGAACGTCGAGCACTGAAAACACACACACTGCACCTCAACTGACAAACTATACGCTTCCAACGTTCTCACTTTACTATGAGAATTTTTACGAGAACATCCGATGTCCGACCGACGGAACCCGAATCGAGGTTCCTGACGTCAAGTAAATTTCGGATTCGGTTTCTTGTTTGACAATGAGCGGCAAAGGGGCGGAGTCACATTCGATGTTTACGCCCAGAGTCCCACCCACGATCCGACTAGCCCTATTTGGTAAGTTGGATTCATAAGGAACCCGTGCAAGAAAGGCATCTGGTTGTAATGAACGTAACTACATTAACAATCGCAATAACCTTGACTTCGCGTTCAACACCCTTTAAGGCGTTACATGTACACGTAACTAGTAGGTACACGTTTCAGGAGTACAAACACAAACACGCTGGTCTGGTACGTGGTTACGTAGTACATGCGATTCTATTCTAATTGAATTGGAATTTGAACGTTAAATCCAGAATAACCTAATGATTCGTTTTCTTCTATTCCTTAAGTGCGCTCTAATTGAAAAATAAGATATCAATTAGAACTTAAATGAATCAATGCCGCTTCATGTATTTCGAAGGCTGATACTTAAGTATACATTCTATAAGGACGTAGGTACCTAATGGTACTCATGGCAGGACAGCCTGGGAAGAAGTTCACGAATAATCCAAAACGGTCGTGAAAGCCAATTTCAGTAACTTGACGATTGTTCAATAATCTTAAGTCCAAACAATGTTTGGATCATTAGAATTAATGTTTTGTTAAACTATACTTGATGAGGGAATGTTAAGAAAAAAAACTAAATGTAGAAAAATTATTGCAGAAACAAGGAGACGATATGAAGAATTAGAAAGGTTAGGAGATGAGGACAAGAAAAGGAATACGGATGAAGAAAATGTTAAAAAATGATATAAACAGGTTTGACGAGGAGAGGGATAAGGCATCTAAGGATATGACGTTAATAAGCAAATTGAGAAATGGAAGATGGAAGGAAAAAGTGCAGATAATAGGTATGCTAAGTGGAGAGAACATCATAAAGATACAGAAATCGGAGTAAATATGGATAAATATCATGGGGTAACGGCAGGCGGACACTTTTATCGGAATCCATATTGAAAGGAAAAGGTATATCCATTATAGCTAGGTCCATATTGGGAAATGAAAGTAATAATGTATCTAAAAATTGGTTAAAAGAGGACGAAAAGACATGCAGAATGTGTAAGATGGAAAAGGAGTCTGTGAAATATAGGTGAATATGAATATTTGATGAATGTAAGGAAAATACGTTAAGGAGTGAACATAGAGACTTTATCTATTAATGGCAAGGGTCTGGATGTCAGAATTTCAAATGTAAGAAAAATGGAGAATGGAGGATAACTAAAAAAAAAAAGTTCGCCGTTTTAGGTGTAATTATATGAGTTTAAATGACGATCCATACTAAAATATCTTTGAAGTAAATAAAGTGATATTAAGGGAAAACTGTTGGTTGAATAAGAGTTGATGTGTATTTTAGGAGTACGCCAAGTTTTTGTACTAGATAGTAAACCTTTTCTATTTGATGTGTAAAAATGACTTTTTGGTTTAATAAACCATATAAATATACGAAATAACGATAATGATTCTGAGCTTGTAAACTAATAATATACGGTGGGTAAAAAGAAGTCGAGGTAAAACTTATACACAATCATAAACAAAGATATTTATTGAACCGGTAAGAAATATAAAAAACAAACTTTATGAAAAATATTTTACTATCTATACGTACATATATCATATACGTAAGAACAACTCGATGAAATTCAATTAAATACCTATTATGAACAAGCGAATAGAGATATTAACTGTTTTTACCAATAGCACTTCATCTTCTCTTCACTGAGATTTTGTTCTTCTAATCTGACTGAATGACACAATCTTTACAATTTTGCAAGAACTATATACATATTATAATCTTTAGGTAGTTTACAGTAAGGTAACGAATTCTAACTGAACCAGGTCGTCTGCAAACTAAGTAAAAAATCATCCCATCCACGTACAAAAGCAATGACCACAGTCGATGCTGCGAGTATAAAGGGTACCTACGCATCCTGTTACTATTAGGTCTTTATGCATTTAAGGAGAAGAAGGTACCCCTTCCTAATTCAACGAAGTGTGCACATGTTCTTGCCCCTATTTGCCTATATTGAAATTGCGACCACACACGTGAAACTAATTTTTTATACCTGTAGAGGGTTAGGCAAGCGGTGCAAGTAATATTTTTTATCCCAAAGGCAGGTAGTTTGAAACCTATATATGAACAAAAAAGTTACAAAATTAAACAGAAACTAAAGTGCTTTTGTAATAAGTTGGCTGGTCAAAAGTAAACACTTTTTCTTGACATTTTTTAGAAATGAATTATGGTCCAAAAAAGTTGACAACTTCAAAAATGTAATTTCTACTGAATCTTTTTAACTTATTATCGAGGTGTAAAAAGATCGATTATAATTGTACTTTAACCAAATATTTTTTGTAATAAGGCAACTTTTCTCTTTTATCCTAAATTTCATCAAAATGCTGCTATATTAAGCGATAATTTTGAAGCTTGTGAAGTTAAAAAAGGTTCAGTAGAAGATGAGATGTTAATTAATGAAGTCGTCTAGGTACATTTGGCCATTTTTGGACCTTAAATCACCTATGATTCGAAAAGGATGCATTTTTCGAAAAAATGTTATTCAAAGTAACACTTTTAATTAAATAATCTGATAAATCTACTTTTTTGGTTTTGTTTCTTAATTTGGAACTTTTTTGTTAATAAAAAATTATCTGCCATTCGAACAAAAAAATGTGATACAAATTTTTCATTCCCTATAAAGTAATAATTTTATTTCACTAGGTTTCGATCCAGTAATTTTTTGGGGATTCGGGTGACTTAGTGACTCTTTTATTATGCTTCTTTTTGATGTTGCACCACTTCCCCTAATACTGTTTTCCCGAAAGTAGGACCTACCCTGAAAAATAACTCCACTATGATTTTAAAGGTTGGTTTTAATATAAGCCCTATCCTGATAAAAAAAGACATACATATTAGAAGAAAGCATCACATTGGCGTTTTCTGACGTGTGCCCAGCGGCTACAGTTTTGGGTTTCGGCGTTAGCATGTTTGGCATTAAACGTAAGTCACTGCATTTTGGTTTTGTTGGAATTTGTAAGAAATCAGTGTATATGCAGTCTTTATAATCATTGTTAAATATATTTTGTAGTATTCATAAGAATTCTCCTTAGTTATAACATTAGTTTAGAATGGTTTATAAAAATTTTATGATCAGTTAGAAATTAATTAGATGAAAGTCGCCTAATTTTGGATACTGTGTTATCCCAAACCCCGTTAATAGTTTTTTTGTAAATGAAATCGCAAAACGAACTTAGGGTAGTGTAATTTATTGGCAGGGATGTTCTACAATACCTAAATTGTCTAACATGCCCAAGTGGTTGAAACAAAAATTACTATCAGGGATTTTTTGTTTTAATCACACACCTTGAAACATAAAGGTTGCTGCTTAATTTGAGATAAAACTGGTACCCTAAAATTGGATATCTAAAATGAGGAACTCAATTAAAAATCCAGTTTTAAAACATGTTTATCAACGATAAAACATTGTCTAGTAATGACAAAAACAAAGTTTATTAGGTCGATACGTCTGTTATTTTTGCGTTGAAAGATAAGATCCAAATTTTGGATAGGGTATCCACTTTAAGGAACCTTCTTTTTAAATTTGAATAAGTGTGCTGTTCTACTTTTGACTATTTTTTATTCCATTTATGCATCTATGATGGAAATAAATATTTATGTATATATATTTATTGTATTTTCACTAATAAAATAATAGCACATGCCAGGAGCAAAAGAATTATTAAAATACAGTGGATTTCAGGTATAACGACAACGAAGGGACCACTGTAATTTCGTCGTTATATACAGAAGTCGTTACAGGCAAAGTTAGAAAAGATATACAGACACACACTCTTTTTCAATTTTGAAACAATTTTCGCATTTTTTTAACAGTAAATGTACATCTGGAAGTCACACTTATTCAAAAGTTTACTAAATACAGTTGCTACTCAGGAACAACGGTATAGGTCACCACACTTGTTGACTATCGGTGTGAATGTAAAGAAAAGATAAGAAAGCTCTTTGTGTCTTTAGCGGCTGACTCCGGTCGCTATATCTGCATGGGATTACTAAGGATTTGTTACAAATGATTCATTAAAAACAGTCGTTACACCCGAACTCGGCGTTACATCCGAAGTCGCTATAGCCACATGAATTTTGTACTAATGTATGCTTTATATTCAAGGAACTTACATACGACGTCGCTTAGCACAATGGTCGCTACAACCAAGGTTGTAATAAATAAAATCCACTGTATGTTTTATTCACACAAAAAAGTTGAAAAAAACTTATCCGAAACTTGACGAATTTCCTCTAAAACCTATACCGAATTTATGCTTTCACGGTATGTCAATCGAAGCAGTACTCCCTTAAAATGAGTCACTTGTTTTCACTAAATACCTTGTATCTTTAAATTAGGGTTCCAAAATTATCATTAGTTTGATGTTAAAAATTGTGTTGGTCGGTTAAGAAGACAGTTAATTAAACATAATTATAGTGCATCGCCTTTTGATTTTTATTGCGTAATCCTTACTTAATTTCAAATTACTACGAATTATCGCTAAAGTTAAATAATGTGCGACTTAATTAGTACAAAACGCTACTTTATTTATTGTATAAACAAAAAAAAAGAGAAAAAAAAGGAATTCTGATAGTTACATTACAAATTAGACTTTAGCATCGGAGAAAGGTTGTGAACGCCGCGTTTATTAAAACATTCCTTCACGCCATGTGCAAACAGAGCCATTCCAATTAATCCAAATACAATAAACCGTCACGATGGAATAACCAGGAGATAGTGTTTTTTACATCCGTTATATTTACAGTATGCAAAGTTCTGTTTTGTTAATTTACAAAATTGTGCAGGACGCGATGAATAGGTAATTAGACCAAATTGCTTACGTTATATGATGTTACGTACTTATAGTATAATTATAATTTCAATATTACGAAACGAATATCTATACTTATTTACACGAAAAAAGTTCTAAAAAGTTACATGA